CGGGATGTGGAGCGGGTAGGTCCGCGCACGCTTCCGGACCCGCTCCGGGTCTGGGCCGCGGTTGCGTCCCGGGGTGGGAGGATGGGCGGCCGCCCCCACGTGTGGTGTCTGCACCCCCTCTCGGAGGTGCTCTGTGTCCCCTGCGGTGTAGCGCAAGGGTAGCCTCGTCAGCCGAGGAGCTAGAAAGACACCCTGTGGAGGGATGGGGCGACTCTGGGGTGGGAGTGTGCGGAGGGTGGGCGGCTGTCTGGCCTGACAATGCCAACTCCTGATAGCTCTGCGGGAGCTCGTGAGAAGGGGTGGGGGACGGGAGGCGGGCAGCCTGTGCACGTCCCAGTAAATCTGGGGCACGCACCCAGAGGGACCCTGCCTGCATGAACTCTTGGAAAGCAGTGCAGTGGAGAAGGGGAGACCGGAGCTCTGCCAAGGTCGCTGTCCTGGGGTTGGCGCAACCTTTGAAGGTCCTGACGCTGGGGACTCAAGGGTGCGCGGGATGGGACCTCCCTGGATCTTGGAGGGAGACAGCACACACCCTGGTCCTGGGTTAGAGGCCCCGCACCAGGACCTGCTCAGGACACGGGTTCTCAAGGATGGAGTTCCTGGCCCCTTGTCTGTGGGACCCTGCTGTGCGCCCAGAAGGGCTATGGGCTTTTGGCCGAGCTGGGCAAACACTTCCTCTTCCCCCTGGCCTAGAGGCAGCTGCAGGGAAAAGGCAGGAGTGGGGACAGTGTTGGGAGGCACCAGCTCATGGGGAGTAGTCACAGCCTGAGCCTGGACCAGGGACCTCAGATGGGACCACCGCCAGAGAGCCAGCCAGAAGAACAGGACAACAGTGTGAAATACTGAACCCAAGCATTTGGGGAGAGTGGAGAGGGGGCCAGAGTGGGACCCAGGGATAGAGAGAGTGTCCTGAGTCTTGCTCCTCTGGGTGTAGCTTGGAGTTGGGCTGACATCCAATGAGCTCAAGGCACAGAGCAGGGGGGAAAGGGGCAGGAGGAGGACAGGGTGACCTGGACCACTCCGGGAAGGGGAAGCAGGTGTGGAGTGGGCATGCAGGAACAGTAGTGGGTCCTGATAGGAGAGGGAGGAGGAGGAGGAGGAGGTCAGGAGCAGCAAGAGGTCCTGGAAGAAACGTGGCCAGAGCAAGTGGGCTGCATTCCTGTAAAGATCTGGGCCAGATGGGAGGTCCCAGGATAGGGCCCTTCCCAGCTACAGCTGGGGAGGAGGGCAGGCCCCCTGGAGAGGTGGGCATGCTGGAGAGGAGTTTTCTGAGGCAGGCTGTATCCACTTGGCCAGGCCACAGCTGACATGCTGAGGGAGCAGTGGGGTTTCATCCCCAGCAGGGTGCACTCAGACAGTAGGCTCCTAGCAGGAGTGACATTGAGGAGAGGCTTGACAGAGTTGAAGCTGAGAGCACATTTGTTGGAATTAAGCCCCAGGGGAAAGAGGTTGGGTTTACAGTGTGGAGGTAGGTTTGTGGTACCTGCAGAGGTTGGGCAATTCTGCCTGGGGTTAAATGTGTTTGAGAAGCAACCTTGTCTGCAGCTCATGGCCCTTTCTATTGGGTCAGCCCAAGCGAAACACAGCTGTTGAGTTGCTGTGTAACCTTGAGCATGTGGCTTACCTTCTCTGGGCCTCTAGGTGAACTAAATCATTTATGGGATGGCAGTGATTCCGGCCCAGAGAATGTCATTCCCTGGAGGCATCCTGGCCAGGGCCAGGCAAGGCTGGAAGCTACCTGTAGAGGGATACTCACTTCAAGAGCAGAGTCAAAGTGGCTCAGTCTGAACAAGGCCCACAGTCTAGCCTTCCTGTCATGTTGCCAGGGCCCTTCTGTATGCGCTAAGCTGCCTAACTGACCACCACAGGTGGCGCCTAACGAGGTGCCAAGCACATAATAGGTGCTTCATAAATGCATATTGAGGGCCAACCCTGCAGCCTGGTGGTGAAGGGAAACAGGTCCTACATGGCTAACCATGGCTCAGATTCCAGCCCAGGCACATGTATGTGTTGTGTGCATGTGCTCAGAATTCTGACGGGGGAGAAGGGATTGTGGCACGACCATGCCCCACTGGGGGATACTTTCTCCCTCTTTCTCTCTCTCTCGAGTAAGCACAACTGCCATCTGGCAGCTGAGGGGGGGAAAATAAGCCCCAAAACTTAAATGCACATAGAAAGCATGAGGAGCAGAAAGAGGTGGGCATCTGGGGGTGAAAGGTAGAGTTGGGGGGGTTATCTTGAGCCCGGCATTTAAATACTTGTTCTTTCTTTCTTTCTTTCTTTCTTTCTTTGGAGAGGTTTTTGTTATAGGGCTCGTACGCTCGCCAGAAAGCCAGAGAGAGACAGAGAGATAGAAAGCGAGAAATCACCCCCCCGGGGGGATGGGCACGCCACAATCCCTTCTCCTCCATTCTCCTCTCGGGATCTTGGGCATGCACGCACTTGCGCCTGGCGTGAGTTTAAGCCACCATGTCCAGGACTCGAACCGCAGTCAGCTACATGGGAGCCCAGCGACATAGCCATTACGCCAATTGCTGGTCCCATAAATGCTTGTGATTTATTCATGTGCATGCAAGTGTGCACACACATGCACGTGTGCATGAGTGAAAGAGTGAGAAAGAGGCAGAGAAGCATGCTTCAAAGGGTCACAGCGTGATTCCCTCTTTCTGGTCATCCAGCCCATTCA